AAAAACATTTAAAGCTGTCTGCATCCAAATCATTGAATCGCTCCAAATCAATTCGGAGGGTTCTGATTCAATTCAGAGAGATTAAAGGGTCTCCTGATTTGATTTGGAGATTCAGCCACCGAATTGGGTCGAACTGAATCAGCAACCGAAGCTTCCCACAGCTCTAGTAACTATCTTTTGGACTGGTGTTTGAGTGTTTATATCTATTAGTTTGTGTAACTGCTTATACTAGTTGATGCTGTTGTTATATTTTATTCAATACAGCTATGGTGTTTAAGCTTATTGGAGTTGTAGTGTGTTTATTCCAACCTTCAAGCGGGGCTAGGCTGCACGTCAATGCCTGAAGGATTTAACCCTAAATCCACCACATTTGTTTATATCAAAGAAGTATTTTGAGGAGGCTTAACAACCCTCCAATCCAATGGTTGATCAGAGACCCTCAGGGGTGCATACACAGTGGATGGGCAGGCAGTTGCTGGGCTTAGGGGAGCTGGGAGAGGCAAGATGGCTGTGGGCCAAGCAGCGGCTGGCGCAGCAGGCCAGCAAGGCCAGTGCAGTGGCCAGCAGGAGTGTGGGGTTGGTCATAGCTGCAAGGACCAGGGGCAGGAGCCATGGCATTGGGAGGCACAAGGGGTGAGGACAGCACTGTCATGTGCCATCCCTGCACTGCACATGCTGCTCCCTGGCCAGAGAAGTGGCTGGCCAGGGAACAGCATGCAGGGCTGGCTTTTAAAGAGGACTGCCAGCTGCTGGCAGCTGCAGTTTGGAGCTCCTCCTAGTGGCAGCAGGCATCCATTGCAACGCCCCAGGAAGTGGGAGCAGAATTGCTGCCATTGCCAACTAGTCTGTTCCTGCTTCCCTGCATGCGTAGATGCCTGCCCAGCACGACTTACTCATGAGTAATTTTCTCGCGAGTAAACTGGTGCCACAGCAAATGCATATGTGGATGTGCCCAGAGTCGACAAAGCAGCACTTTCAGATTTAAAAAGTTTCAGAGTTCTTTAAGACTGGTAAAAAGACTGTTTCTGTACAAAAGGCCTATGAACCTTTAATGTATACAGTTCTTGCTACTTTTGTTCTAATCATCTCAAAGAATATGATAATTATCATTCATAGCTGCAAAATGACACTTTTGTGATTGTACTTGTGAAATTAGTAGCTGCTGTTTAGAGCAGAGATGCTTCTAAGCATACTACATTCTTGGGGGAAAAAAATCCCACAAAATCAAAAAGTGGAGAATCGCCATTTTCGTTTCCTTGCAATTTCAAACTAAGCACTTGTCTGTATTCCCCAGTGCTGTACTGGGGAATATGAACAAAGCATATTTAATCACTTTAAATGCAGTAAATTTAGAGTACTTCTGAACTGAATGCTTCAGTAATACCAAAGCAGATCCATGGCCACATTGTGTTCAGTGAAAGGAACAAAGCTCACTCAGATGGTTCTAATACAGAATTTATTTTGTTGGTAGGGATTTTGCTTGTGCTAGAACTGCAGCATGCAGCCCAAAGTAGTAATTAATACCCATTTATTATCTCTCATGTACATGCACCTAGATTATGGGTTCTATAAAATATATAATTTTAGACTACTTCTGTTTTAGATTTAAATTTGAATTAGACATTTGTTGACTTTAGAAATGCCCACCATTTGCCCAGATGAAACTTGGATATTGACCCCATGCCCATTTACACCACTAAATACAATCATTATGAGTCAATACAAAATGTTTCCTGTACAGAACTATAAAAGTTTCTTTAAACTTAAATATAGACCACAAGAGATTAATTGGAAAATAACCTAATTAGAAAAATCCTGACAAAGAAATGAACTGAAAAACATCATTCTAACATGAAATGTTTATTATATAAAAAGTTCATGAACTGCATAGCTGTGACATGAGTAGTCTAAAAAATTATACCAATAGCCCACTTGTGTTTCTTTTGCTAATCCCCAGCAAGTTAAACACTAAGAAAAATGTCATATAAACTGCTCTACTCTATAAAATTATATATATAAAACAAAATTATGGCATGCACAATAAAAGTTCTTATTAAAAAAAAAAAAAAAATCAAACAAATATTGATCCAAAAAAATAGACATTTAAAATTCTTAGATTCAAGTTGAATTTTGAATTTACATAAAAAAGTACAAATTTGAAAAAAGCTCCATTGGATAAAAACTAAAGTTTCTTATTCAAATATAAAGATAACTTAAGTCCAGAAAGCAGTAACAAAATGTAAACATTCATAAGACACATGAAAATTCTCTTTAAGAAATATTAAATTCTCTTTAAGAAATATTTACTGTTTTTTGTCTCATTAAAGTGCTGGCATATGCTTTCAGCTTTATCAAATGTTAAAAGAAACAAAACACATTTATGTACATGATACCATCTTCATGAGCTTCCAGTTTTATCATTTTAATTTAGCAATAATTTGACAGGTCTGTTAAGGCACGGTTTTGCAGAAATGTGCTATTCTGACATTTCTTCCCTCCCTTCATCGTAAATTAGTGTCCAACTTCAAATATTTTCTAATTTAAAAAAATATTTAAACTGATTTAATACAATTTGTTTTTGTTAGCTAGTTTTAAATGCAAGATATCTATTTTGGAAATTATGGCTTTTACACAATTTGGGGAGAGAGAAAGAGCGAGCTCTGAAGTCAGTCTATCTACTGCAGCAACTACCTCTCTTGCAAAATCATGGTATCATTTATTTATAATAAATATATAAAAAAGGATATGTTCATATGTATAAGAGTTAACAGTGAAGGCCCCTAACACCTAGGCCCCTCAGGTAGGTTCCTACTTGAGTCCACTTGGTGTTAAAAGGTATCACAAAAAAATATCTTGTTTGAACATGGCAAAGTAGTGGATTTTAACAGACTAGCTAATGGCCTGATCTTGAACGTCATACTCAGGTTAACGTCAATCTGTACCAACAGGAGTGCCATTAAAATAGATCCACATGATTTAAAAAAAATTCACCCCTTTTGCTAAAATATAATGCAGCCTTTTATTGCATGTTAATAATGGTATTTACATTTTTTCCTTCAATTTTAGTTAACAATGTTGAAATACTGTCAGGGTCGACATCCACATCTGAGGAAATGCAAGATAAATCAGAATTGTGATACTTAATTGGGCTGGACAAGAGACATCCACAGGATCTGATTTAACTCTTTAGCCTAGAAGACCCTGAAAGTACTTTAAAGTGCTATTAACTCTCATCATATTTCAAAGAGTTTAATACTTACATTCTTATGTGAGAATACTCAAATTGTTATACTATTAGTGCTATTATGTTGAAGATTGCGTTTTGTCAGCATTTCAAGGACCTCCCCCCCACACACTTAATTATCAGGAGTTTAAACCCTCATCAACATCTGCTCAGGTGAAAATTTGGAGTATTTATCAGATCCTAGAAACAAGGAGGTGGGTGAAAACAATACCTTTGCTTATCTGCAGTTTAAAACCAAGAGAAAATGGATACATGTGTTCTCTAAAAATTATGAAGGATTTTATAAGCACTAAAAGCTTTGTTCTTAAATAATAAAACCTTTAAAGGTCATTTTGCAACATGGACATAGGTCTCAAAAAATACACATCTTTCTTAAATAAATATTGCTTTGTAAGCAAAATCAAAATCTTTCCACTCCATTCTTTTTTTGTTGTTGTTAACCAGTCAGATTCCTACAATGCAGGTGCATCACAGCTATATAGAAAATAAGTGTCTATTAGTCTATTCTTTATACCCTTTAAAAACTTCCCAGATAAAAATATTATGGTATAGGAATTCTTATGGTTTACTGGAATGTAATTCCAATTAAATCTAGATTTAGAAAAGGATGACATTATGATGCCAAGCAATAATAAGCACTCAATCAATACATGTTTCAGTATAGTACTTTTTACCCTTTTTGATAGAGCTGTCAACATAAACCAAATCTTCAGCATTAAAACTAAAAACCTACCCATATTCTACAATGATTCAACATATGTTACATACCACATACTCAGGGGAACCAGTTAGCAAAGGCAAAATGACTATCTTTAACTACTGCCAACTGTTCTAGATAGAAAAGGCACTTGCTCATTAAAATACTGCATCCCAAGGCATCCATTAATTTTAGCTTGAGCATCATTTCAGTTAAAAAAACATTGAGAGCAGCCACTGTAGGGCAGCAGTTCCCAAACTGTGGGTCATGACTCCAAATGGGGTCGCAACATTAGCAGATGGGGTTGCAATGAACGGGGATCTAGGTTTTCCAGAGTGAGAAAAAACATGGGAAAATGCAGGCTTCCCTTTGCAGGATGGTAGAGTTCCAGCCTGCAAAGGACTGCTTGGGGCTGGGGAAGCAGGGGAGGGTGACTGGAGGCAGGGAGCACCACGTGCATGTGCATGCATACATGTACACATAAGCCAAACAGCAGTGGAGAGTAGCTCCAGCAGATCCCTCCAGGTAAGTCTATGGTGGGGAGGGGACAGAGGCAACACATTGGGAGAGCAGGGGGCCCAGAGGGAGAGCAGGGGGGTATGTTCCTCCCCCCCCCCAAGGTTTCTGCACATAATGGTGCATGGGGCTGCAGTGGGGTCAGACCAGCTCCAGGCAGGAGCCACCTCTGTGACCCAGAGGGCAGGACCTGGTGCAGGATGGGAGTGCCATCATGGCTAGCAAAGTAAAGCATGGCAGCAGCAGCATATTGTTGTTCCCCCCTCACTGCTAGGTGGGCAGGGGACACCTCACCTTGGCGACCACAGAGCTTGGCGCACAGCTCCCTCCCATGCCAGGTCCTGCCCACTGGGCTGCAGAGCCCCTGGGGGGAGAGGGCAGTAGGGCAGGGAGCCCCAAGACTCCAGCAGGCAGTCTGCATCCTCCCCACTCCCCCACAGGCTCTGTTCTGGCTGTGATGCCTGCAGTGGGGGAAGTGGGGGAGGAGCTGGGCTCCATGCTCCCATGGGTGGTAGCTGGGGCTTGGCCACTACTGAGGGGTGCAGAGGGCTGTCGGTTGCGAAAGAGGGGCCATGCTGAGGAAGTGGGTTCATAAATGGGGTCATGGTGAGGAAAAGTTTGGGAAGCACTTCTGTAAGAAAAGACTACCAAAAACTAGTTTCAATTCCCCAGTTCTGATCAGGTAGCAAGCCCTAGTCTTTGACTTGACTATGCCTGAGTTGTTCAGCTAGCTCCATGCATTCGTTTTATCCTCTTTATATTGAACACTAATATCTTTTTTGGACTAAAACCTGAAAAGTGCAAACCATTTTCAACTATAGCTCAGTCAAAAGAGAAGTTAGTGCCAGAACTCCAGTTTTGCAGAAGTGAAGTCCATTGCCAGCAATGCCATTAAAGGGAGCACCAGCATAGGCATCAAAAGTGCACTTCCAGCATAGCCACTCTGTAGGAATGGGCAACACGTTATAAAATTAGTCTCTGGAATAGATTATCCTAAATCTAGTTTCAGAGAACCTGCATAAATAGTCATGTTAACATACAAAGTCTGTCACAAAGTCTTGAGGATGTTGCAATGAATCATCAAACCGGAAACGTTTAGAGACCGTGCTGCTGTCCTCTGGAATGTTTTCTTTATCTTCTCTGTTGCTGCAGGTACCATTACAAATAGATTTTGTATTCTTCTCCTCTGAACACCTTGCTGTATGGTCTGGTATCAGAAAAGGACAGGAATTTTCTTCAGGACTGTACAGGAGTATGAACTCCCCTTGCTGCAACCAAGAATGACAGAGACAAGCCTCTGCTGTTGGTCTTTCCCTTTAAATAGAAAACCAAAAGCCAATTATTTATTTTATAAGTATTCACCCCAATGAGATGTAGAATTTATTTCAAAATAAAAATATGCTTAGAAACATTTGCAGATGTCCCAAGTTAGCAATTTTGAACAGCAAAGTCTTAGTCACACAACAGGTGGAAATGCTAGCTCACATTGCTGACTTTCTACAACCTTTCTACAGAAGAGGACATCAAATTCTTTTCCGTCTCAGGCTACAAAGCCTGAGGTGGTTTTATTCACTGTGCACTTCATGTCTGCCAGAGAGGACTCATTTAGCTTCCAATGCCCATTGTAGGATGGGTTGAAAGGTTGAGTTTTGACTCTCCTATATAGAATCTAAAAACAAAGGATGAAAAAGGAGGTCTGGTTGAAGGGTTTCAACCTGGAAGAGATTTGTTCAGTCCGGATGTTAAAAGTAAAAGAACCGGAAACTTGTTCAAAGGTTTCAGACTTTGATACGTTTATGACAATAAACCAATGCCAGAGTCCAGCAAGTATAACCCTGCAATGTTCTGTTGCCACAGGTAGTAAAAGTTGTGGGGGGAGAAGGGATGGAAAAAGAGGACTATAGTCAGTCCTCCTCTTACCTCCTCTAAGGGGGCACGTGGTGTACACATGTACATGCAGGCCCTACAGATTCTTCTAGCTAAAGGAATCAGATCTCCAACATAAAACAAATGCTCACTTACAGTGGAATGATGCACGACACATGATTAAAATATCCATAGCCTGATTTTCATATTCCAAACTTCAGACTGGGTTTGCAGAACTAGCAGTTGTCACACATTTTTTCGATTTGCCAGCTGAGCAAATCTGATTTAGAAGCTACAACTCCTTTTTCAGAATAAAACTACTCTTAAATCCAGACAGCATCCTACCAAATGAAAGTCAGTTTACTACACTGGCAATTTTTTTTGTCCAGTGAGACTATGCAGTAATTTATAATTCAGTTTTAAAATAGAAGTTTGATACAAAACTAATCAGATCTCACTATCAGGTCAACTCAGATTTCCTTTTTCATATATCATAATGTAGAAACCAGTATCTTTTAATTTTAAATGGGTACTAGGAATATTACATTATTTACACTACAAGAGCACCCAAGTCCCCAATCAGGAAAAACCTAGGTTTAAAAAGTGTTATATACACACACAGGAACATACAGTCCTCACCCCAAGGAATATACTACCTACTCTGGATTTTTTACAAGAAGTTTTTGAATGAAGTCCTTGGCAGGCTGTGAAATAGACGCAAAAGTTTCATCAGAATAATCCACATTAACTTGGGAGATATTAAGAAAAGTTTCTTGCTTATCAGCTCCTGCAAATGGAGATTCTTGAGTCAGCAGCATATATGAGATTATGCCGATGTTCCTAAACAAAAGTACAAATAATTAATCTTTCATGTTACACGAGTGACAACAAAATGAAATCTCCCTATAATACCTGCTTCTGTGAGCCAGCTTTTCTTGTTATTCCTCATTTTGCTGACAATAAAAGAACTCAAACACACCACAGTTCTAAGCAGTTTGCTCACATACATATGTGAGGCATGGGATAAATTTCCTACTGTTTAATTTGGAACTTAAGACAGTGGCTCTCTTCCTCTTTAGACTCTAGGCACCCCTCATTAGTAGGGATGTACCTGCTCCCAGGAGGCTGCTTTCAGGTGGCTCATGAGAAACTCACCAGACCGGAAGAGGGCTCAGTCTAGAATTATATAAGCCCAGAGCCTGAGCCGGTCAGGCAGGCTCTCCCTGGCACCCACAAAGTAAGGAGCTCCTGGCAGCAGGGCTCCTGAAGGGACTCTGCTTTATATCAGTAACCCTGCAGGCCTGGGAACAGATGAAGGTTACCTGGGCAGAGGAAGACAGGGTTATACAGCAAGTGGCCTTTGTTTTATTTTAAACTCCCAGAGAGTCTGAGGGGTCTGCCAAAGAGCTGAGTTACTTCCTTTTTTATTCAAGTGGTACTGATGGTTTAGCCCTAAGCCCTACTGTGGCAGGCTGCTGGCCTGCTTAGAGAACTGGTAACCCAGGAGCCTACAGACTGTGGGTAGGAGCCAGTAAGGGGTCAAGGAGCCTAGAGAAAGGCTGAGACCCAGACCAGAGGCTCCCTGGGCCCAGGGAAGGGCTGAGCCAGACCAGAGAGCCCACATGCCCAGAGAGGGTGCTAAGCCAAACTAGAGGGTCCCTGAGCCTGGAGAGGGGCTGCGTGCAGGACCAAGGGTCCAAGAGCCCAGAGGAGGGGCTGTGTGCAGAACCAGGGGTCCAAGGGCCTACAACAAGATGGTATAAGGGACTAGGGGGTCTAAAGTTCCAAGGCGGCATGATTATTTAAACAGAAACAGTTAACATCAATAGGAAAGAATAGCCACAAGGCTTTGGGTGCGGTATAGGGGAGGAATGGAGCCACACAAGCCTCCTCCACCTGCCAAAAAAGGGCACTTTACTTTAACTTCGGCACACCCCAGTGCTGAGCCCAGCACATGCCCAAGAGAGCACTAGTTTGACCCAGGGAGTGTTCCCAAGAGCAGCCGATATCGATATTGTTTATTATTCCATTACAATAAACATTATTATTTATTACTATTACTACCACCACCATGACAACCAGACTTACAGCAAATAAAAAACAATTTAAAAATACTTACCATATATCTGTAGCTGTGGTGATTGGATCGTAGTTTAAGATTTCTGGAGCTGGGGGGTGGGGAAGCAGAAAAGAGTGAAGTACACAATTAAAATATTTATTGCTTACATGTGTAATATGTAAATGCCACACTAAGAGTGAAATATATTTCAATCTAGGAAAAAATTGCAAAAACCCAATCAAGCTGCAGGAAAAAAAAGTGCTGTCCTAACCTGCTACACTAATGTACTATGGCGCAGACCAAAAATGAAGTTAGTTACAGGTTTCTAAAGAGACTGGATGTTACTTACTCACTTTAGCTTAAGAGTTACAAGATTAGATTGGGAATTTCTGCCTAGAGCCACCTGCCCTCTCTGGAACTGGATGGACAGAACCATGAGAGAGAGAGAGAAAGAACTCCACTGTACTCGTGCTGCATCGCTGATTACTATATCAGTTTGAGGAGCATTAAGTGCATTCTAGATCCATACGAGCGCTGTTCTAAACCAGTTCTGTCAAATATCTTCTAGATGCCTACATCAAAATTCTTGGTACATTTCCAAAAGCCAGGCATTCTGGGAGATCTCAAAAAGGCTGTCAGGGTGTTATGCAACAGCACTAGGAAAACTAACTGAATTAGTTCTAACTTGAGCACAGAGTAGCATTAAGTTGGTTCAGACCAAGCTGTTTTTTTAACCCTACTGGAAGCCCACTCTATTCCAACTAATCCTTAAAATACTTGTTAAACCTGTCTGACCAGTTCACAAGTCTTTGGGGGCAAAGATAATTTTTTCTATTCTGTGGTTCCAGCTTATCTAAGATCAGTTTAGCTGAACCAAGTTTAAAAAAAATCAACCTCTCTGTCTCAGTACATTTATCTTAAAACCTTGTTCAACACTGGAAAAAAAAATTAAGAGTATTTTGGGCCTGTAATAAACAATAAAAGCCAACATGGCTGAACCAACTTTAGAGTTAGTTATAAGGAAGTTCCACCTCTTCTTCTCCTTCCCATCCACGCATATAGTGTAAGGACACTCTAATCAGTAAGATTATAAACTTGCTCGTTAAATTCACACCAATTTTCAAATTCAATTGATTAGTAAGGAGACGTAGTCATACAGAGAATTAAGATTCTGTAGACACATTTTCAAAATGAAACACTGTTTTAAAAAGCACATGGCTGGACCCTCATATCACACCTAATTCTAGTGCGCACTTGAGTATTTTTAAATTCACTTCAGTAATGATTAAGCTGGTCCATGTACCCCTAAGAACCATCCAAAAAGCAACATGTAGTTATCATTAGGAAACAAACAACACTAAAGATCCAAAACCAGCAGGAAGGTGAATGACTAAACACTGTACATTCTGCTTTCACATTCAGCGAACTGTTCTACTTTCATTTGCATACAAGAAATATAAAGAGGAAAAAACACTTCTCCATACCTAGATAGTCTATGGTTCCCATGATGTGTCGCAGTTCACTAGCACTCTCAATCTTCCGAGACATACCAAAATCTACAATTTTTACATCACCAAGAGGATGCAAACTGCTCAACAGGATGTTCTGGGGCTAAATAGAGAAAGATAGCCATTTAGTCTTTAATACATTACAATTTTAATTATACTCAGAGTTACCGATACTCATGGAATGAAATATAGTTTATATTTATTAGCAACCAGAATTGCATTACAGACTGTAAAGTCTGAGCGAAGCTTCTGTAAAATTCCCTGCAGCTCTCTTTCTACTAAAGATATACAAGCAGCAGAAAACATAAGACTACTGTAATTATGTACATTTCTCATGGGTTTATACTTTCTGCATCTGGATCAAAATAAAACATTTCAATTCAACTTTAACACCTCTTCTAAAATGTTTTAGTCAAGGACCCAGAGGAACAGACTTCCACCTTCAGTTTCTCCTGTGCAAAATGAAGTTTATTTTCTACCTGTGGGGAATTTTACCATCTTTATTTTTCCCTGAGCCTGAGGAAGGGTTTGCGCGCCTGAAAGCCTGCAAAGAAAGATTTTTTTTTGCGATTTCTTAGTTGGTCTAATAAAAAGGTATTATCTCTGAACCAAGAGTTCTAGAGTCCTGCATTTCTTTTTGTCTCAGAGCAACAGGGCTACCAAATACATCCTGTTCATTTTTTTAAAATAAAAAATTTCATGTCTTTCAATGTCAGTATTAACCAGGGTAAATTATCTGAAATCTTACCTTTAAATCTAGATGCACAATATTATTCTCATGCAGACAGATGAGACCTTCAAGTATTTGTCGAATAAGTCTGGCTATATCACTTTCACCAATTCTCTCGTCTAGGTCCGAGACACACAAGTTAAAAATTTCACCTCCAGCAGCACTAAAACAAAATATATTAGATGTAATTCAGTATTTTTACACAAATATCAAAACTAAGTAGTGATAGGACTGTTCAGTAACTTAGAACATGATATTTGAACATTCGGAGAGAGAAAAAGTATAAATTTAGTAAAAGTACTTTCTCCAAAAGTAATTTAAGAATTTTTTAAAGTTAAATTTTAACCAATTTAACAGCCTGTTAAACTAAAGAAAAGGCAAGCAGCCATAAAATGCAACAGACAAAAATAAAAGGAATTTCATACCAGACAGTTTGGGTATAGATTCAAAAACAGAACTTGTGGCTGAATTCTTGGCATTGCTTTAGAAATGTCAGCCTCCCCCCACCTCCCCTTTTAATAACTTCAGTTATATCGAGCTATCAGTATGATCCAGCTTACACCTTGTCTTACGAAAAAATCAAAACAGATTTTCCTGAATAAGACAAAAGCTTCACGTAAGCCAGTTACAACTAATAATACCTAGAAAATAGTGACACCTGTTTAAGCGGGAACCTCTAAAAGCCAGAAACCTGCTCAAGCTGGAAAATGCTATGGTCCTAGCAATCTGGCCTGGGTGGTAGTGGCTGCCGTGTCCCCATTGCCACTCAGAATCCAAGCAACAATGGGGACATGGCACCCTAGAACTTGCCCCTGCCATGGTCTCCTGCATGGAGGCAAGTGTGAGGAGTTACATCAGGAAATGATTGTGGAGAACAAACCCCCATCATCCCTTGCCTCTTCTTGCAGGGAGCCCCTTTACTCTTGCCACCCAATCAAGGCTCTCCTCTCTCGCTGGTGTTCTAGCTGCAGGGGTCAGGCTTCTTGCCTGGACTGTCAGAGCACAGACAAAAGCCTTTCCTCTAGTCCCCCCAGGCAGCACTGCAGGGGTCCCCACCCGTGACCAGAATATCCAGCTGGCAACAGCATCACTGCCAACAAGCAGGACTTGGAAAGGACAGCCCCTGGATTCAGAACAGTCACCCCATGCCCAGTGGCATTTATAAGGGAGCCAGGGGGATGGAGAAGCTCACAGCAGGGCACAGGAGCTAGTGCCTTTATTTCTCCTATAAGTTTCACTATACTCCTATTTGATGCCCTTCCAGAGAAAAGAATATTTCAGTCAACATCTAAAAATACATAAAAGAGAGTCTGGAGAGTTGTTAGATGGGTGAAAATGTTAGAAGAAAATTTTCAGAGAAAGAACTAGAGACAAGCAGAAATGTTCACAAAAAGGAAGACAGAAAAAAGAGGTCTAGCAACCATGCAATATTAGATGCACTTAGTTTGTAAAATCAGCGTGACTGAAGTTCAGCCAAAAAATACCCTCTTCCAAAACCTCTGCCAACACAGATCAAACATCAGAGAACAACATCAACAAGCCACATTCCAATACACAACTTACCTAAAAGGAAAATTCATAAATCCTGCCAAACTTTAAACCCTTTACCTAAAAGCCAAGGATCTCTATGGAAGAGCCTTTATGTTGGCAGTACTCAAATAGTCCGATTATAAGCTACTTAAGAGATCCAGTCCTAAATTACTACCTATATCCAGACTTCTAAAAGTCTAGAAGTATTATTTCTGTTTTCTTCCATTATTTTCAATATGCTTAACTGTACCCATTATATTTTTTCAGATGTCATCCTATTTAAAAAAGATGAGACTGTATGAAACAATAAGAACATTATTTGAGTTTTGGCATACTTGCCTTCTATATCACTTGGTTATATTAAAAAACAAACAAACCATTAAAGCAGTTTATGAGATACACATGGTTTTTTGATTCTGGTCCATACTTTGAATCAGTGTCATTTGTTTTCTTATTGCATTTTGGTCATTCAGTGAGATTTCCTTACTGAATCAGTCCCCTCTGTTCTCTATTTAGTTTGAAATGCATGGATTTGAGAATAAGCTGCTACAGCTGCCAGGTGAACTTCAGTAGTCATCAAAATGGACATAATTTTGAAAGAGAAAAAAATCCAGAAGAGAAAATTGGAGATCCTGCTGTATACACATATTGAAAGTACAGAATCATGCTGATGGAAGGGACCTCAAAGGCACCTCAAAACATAAAGTTTATCCTAAAATCCTAATTCCAAAAAGCCTGTACCCTTTCCTCAGTATTGGAATAGGAGAAGTTAAATTTGGTATGATCTCTGTAACATCCAGTTTGGAATGCTGTTTTTTTTCACTATTATTTTTTACCAGTGACAATTCAGACCATTTCTACATCATTTGCAAAACATGCAGTCTCTTTAACAGACTAGGGCAGTAATTCTCAACCAGGGTACTGTGGCACCTTGTGGTGTTTTCAGATCTTTTCAGAGGTACCATAGGGTGCTGCACAATGTTAGCTCCATTAGGTGTGCAAATATGATTCAGAAAGCAAACGCAAAGACTTCAAATAGGAATCCATTGCGTTAAAAACATTGTCCTGTGGCAAAGAACTCGGACTGCAACAGAACACTTGCTCTATTACTTTTCTGTATTCAAAAATCAAGTGAAAACTAAGAGCTGACATTTTCCATGAGATGCCTTGAGTTTAAAAAGATTGAGAACTGCTGGACTAGAGGAATCTGCCAGCCTTGAGCTTCAGTGCAAGTAAGACTAGCGATACTGATGCATAATAGATGAAGAAATATTTACATCTGTAAAAGCGGCATAATTAAGAACAGCATAGCTTTCCTCACTTTATTTAGTGTGGGAAAGGGGACAGGATAACCTCACTCTTCATGTCCTCCAGTGACCTGAGCAGTAAAATGGGGACTTGATGCATCTAATGGGAAAAACAAGGAGAGACTGAAAGGCTTTCAGACCATAAAACTGTATTACTTTTGTCTGTCTTCTAAAGAGCTATATGGCAGTTTTGATAGAAATGGATGTAAAACTCTTATGGATTTCAGCAAAGATTCCAGAATTTTAAAAATGTAAACCATCCCTCACTTCAAAATAGTAATCAAACAACTGGGGTAAGTGCCTGAGAAAGGGAAATTAGAAGCTAAACTAAATTAAAAGCTTCTAACATATTATTAACAAAAGTAGCTGATTATGATAAGATATACTCTGTATCTTTGACTAACTAGTGACCAGAGTAGAACATACAGTTGCTGAACAGAAATAAGAGTATGAAGATACAGGCTTTTATCTTTGAAAAGGTAATACCAAGGGAAAGTTTAAAATCTAGAACTTGTCAGAACTTTCCTGTCTTTTTCTTTAGTTCAGAGTAAACCAAGGGTTCAGAACCCCTGGCCCACAGGCCAGATCTGGGCCACCAGTGCTGGGAACCCTGAGCCCTGCACACTAGATTGGGTGTGCAGGGCAGTGCAGCAGCTGACATATGGCTCCAGGACCCCAATCCTGGGGCATAGGATCCTGGGGCCCAATCCCTGCATGTAGGGCCAGGCAGGGAGGTGGAAGAGGCAGTGTAGGCCCTGGGGCCCAATCTGGGCACATGCAGTCTGATCTGGCCCAGAGACAGGCCCTAGGCCATTCACCTGGCCTTGGGGATAAATACTGAGCACCACTGGCTTAAACTACTAACATGTGGATGTGTTAAAATACTTTATCATCTAAACAGATTCTTTTATGAACCCAGCCTGACAGCTCCTAAACTGGCCCCCCCATAGGTGTCCATGTAGCATGGGTCCTGTGCATACCACTTGTGGTGTGTGGGTCCACTCAAGACCCAGGGCTGGCACTGGGAGCTGGATGATGTGGCTCTGTGAGCTGGCTGTATCTTTGACATCCTGGAACAAACTTAGTTTTGTTTTTTTCTGTTTAGTGTGGGGAAGTTTAATCTATTTGCTGCTGTTTATTTCACTCTAGCCATTTTTATTTCTAAAAATTTCTGCAAAGATGCACATATTTTTACACATGCACACACAAGAATGAATAATTTTGATATACGAAATATTAGAAGGATCTCATCAACTGTTTTCAAACTTGGATTCTTCAAAAGATGCAGCTAAATAATTTAGGGGATAGCTATTACTATGACTGCTTGGGTAACAAAATGGGAGTTGTATGCATTTAACACTTGCAAAAACCAGGCCACCAAACTCTGAGTGATTTCATTCTGTGAAAGAAAGTGTGGCTAGCTAGTTTTATTTTTGGGCAATAAAATAACACAGCAAACATGCATATAGAACCTAGCACCTTCCATGGTACCAGGCTAGCATGACAGCTTGTACAATGAAAAAAAAGATTTCCCATAAAAATAACCAAAATCCTTCCATGAACTGCCTCAGCTATACTCTGTTTGAATCTGACCTAAAAATATACTTACATTTTCAGCCAGACTGCCCGGTACCAATGACAGATATGGGTTTTTTTTTTAAAGTACAGATTTTTTTAAATTCTTTTGTTAAACATTAGCTTCTTTCCAATTTTGTCTTAAAAGCTGTTTGTCGCCATACAAAAACATAATGTTTCTGTTAATTTGGGTTTGGGAAAAATAAATATATTAAAAAATAGCAGAGGTAGGAATCAACCCTCCCTTTATGAATTCCCCAAATAAGATGTTCTCTTCAAATCCTAACTGCAGATCATTTGAAAGTTATTTTTAAATTGTGAAACATTTTTTCTTTACGATATTTAGGTTGAGGACATACAATGACGAAAGTTTCAAGTTTCCAGTAATTTTCTATTCTCATCTTCCCTAGCAAAATGTGTAGCTTAACACAATGGTGCCCTACCATCTATATAATAAAGATCCATTAATGCAGCCATATTAATTTGTCATTCAAATGTTCTTTCCTTTTCCTCACTTTTTATTATTTTAACTGTACATCATTAATATTATATATTTCTTCACTTTTACAAATTTTAAAGCATCCTTAGAATAGATGCTGGTCTCTTTTACCAATTGGTTTTGCAACACAATTTATCTCGCATCACAGTTTTTACAATTAATGCTGTTAGTCACCTACCATAAACAAGAATGTATACATTAGTAACGATGGGTTAAAATGACATGACAAGTGGTTTGCCTAGAAAATCCAGCCCCCAACAAAAAAACCGAAAAGCCCCAATCCTTCAAGACCTAGACACAGGTCTGTACGATATGGTACTGTTAAAAGAATATGTACAGTGTTGTTCTCCTTGTTGTATTCTATCAAATAATGCTAAGTAATCTATTATTACAAAAAACAAATATTTATTGCATACTTACTATTCCAACACTAAGATGATCTCATTTGCTGTTTCATAGACTTCATGGAGATTAATTATATGAGGACTAGATTTCGTTAATTCAAGAATTGCAATTTCATGTAAAATCTCTGCTTTACAATCTTGCCCTCTTCTCCTTTTCTTCATACATTTAGCTGCATATTCTTGGTTTGTGGATTTAGCTGTACATTTTCTAACCACTCCACATCTTCCTCTGCAAAAGGTAAAATTAAGATTTCTTTAAACGGAAGTTATAGCAAGGTGCAAACATTACACTTCTTCAGGTTTAGGTGGTCGGAAACCAGTCTATACCCATAACAAAACCGAAGTTCAGAGCGCATACACTAATTTAAAAATGGTGGAACCTGATCCAAGATAGACCTGGATGGAAGCAGTATCAGACTTAGGTGATTTAAGTTAAACCGGTCTATGGAGCTTCAGAACCAGATCCCCTCCTGACTCAAGGTAAGGCATAGTCGCCCAGCATACTAGAAGCCTTTGGAGCTCCCTCACTAACCTCCCTTCACAGGGTGGCTTGCTAGCTTCAGCTGTGCTCGGCTACTCTGACCTGTCAGCTGCAGGCAGGGGGAGAAACGAAGGGAATGTCTGTAGGGCAAGAACTTTCTATCTTCATACAAGTGTCTCTAGGCAGGGTGGGGGGGTAAGGGTAGGCTCAGTAGGGGCAGGAATCAGGCCCCTTGGAGCTCTGACAGGCTGCAGGCAGTGGTGGTGGGCACAGGGCATGATTCCAGAAATCACAAAATTCCTGCAGGCATGCTGGGTGCCTGCTGCCACTACCTGCATTTTACCAGGGCTACAGGGGACCCAAGTCCTTCCTTCTGCAGGGCCCCCTTTCTGTGCCACCAGCAAGGGGCTGTGGGAACCTGCTATTGAAGGGGGGGGGGGAGGGCTCCAATCCTGCTCCCTTGGGCTACACTGGGCATTGCTGAATAGAGGCTGGCAGGAGGTACATCATCCATGCAGCGGAGCAAGGCCAGGCTGAGCCAGCACAGCCAGCGTGGGCTCTGGGCTAGGGGATCCCCCCTATCACCTGCTGAATAGTCAGGGAAGCCCCATCCCCCATCATATGTATACAGCTTTCAGTAGCAACAAAGGGGTAAGAGAGGGGAATGGAAGCCTCCCCTTGTCCCCCAGATCAGTCCCAGCACAGCTGGGAGGAGCTCCCCCCCCACCCAACACTGCCCTTCTACAGAATGCTCCTGTCCCTGCTGCCAGATACAAGCCCCCCTGCCTGCTCGGCACATCTCACCAGCTGCTGCTGGTGCTGGGCTCTGGTGGGACACGCTGGGCTGCCTGACGGGCTTGTGCCAGGTGACAGGTACGGAAACATTCCATAGAGAGCACGATCAGGCTTCGCTGCCTGGCAAGGACCTTCTGGGCTGTCCAGCACATCTTGTCAGAGCTCAACACGAACAGCACCCAGTGGGACATGCCGTGTGGTTTGGGGGGGCTTGCACCAGATTGTGGGGATGGAAGTGATCCACAGAGGGATGGATTAGGCCTCTTGGAACACAATCTTTCCTTCTATGGAGACAGGGCCCCTCGATCGGCTGTCAGGTGCACACCGCCACTTCCCTGCTGTCCCAGCAGGCCCTGTCTTGCACCCAACCCTGGGCTTCTAGGGGAGCCCTGGGGTGGGGGAGGATCTCCATGGCATGCCCAGCAGCCCAGCCAGCAGCAGCAGGGGGGAAGACGTGCCATGCTGACCTCCCCCAGGCAGCCTGGAGCTAGGCACAGAGGAAGGTCTGCAGTAGCAATGGTGGGGTGGGGGGTGTGCCTGACAGCCAGTCAGGGATGCCCCCTCTCAGCTGTGCTCTGGCACACTGGGAGGCATGTGGGAGCATTCCTTGTCTTCCAGCCTCCACCAGTGCAGGCATTTGCATGCCTCCCCCCACCAGAGAGTGAATGTGTTTCATCTGCTCCAAATTCAACCTACACAGCTTAGAGAAACCTGCATAGATCAGAGACATTTTGCCTCAGGCTTTTTTGAATGTCTGTACTTAGCCTATGACAAAGGGCTTGCTTACTTGGGAAACAGCTATTTCACAATAGCTGCCCACTTATTCCACACTGCAAGTGCCTCCCATGGTTTAGCCCAAGGCTTTTCAGACGAGAACTGAGCTAAACCACACTAGGCCACTTTTAAAAGCAAAAGCAAGATATTAAGTAGCTCTTTTTAAAGCAAAATACATTATTTCATAAGAGCTTCAACAAGCAGACAATCCAAAATTAGTTACAAGAGTTATAGACTGACACTTCACAAATGCCCACAACAAACAGGTTAGTCTTCTTCTTGCACATTCTTTCCCAAAAGCTGCAACATTTTCAGATGCGGAAAAACTGATCATAAGTGACTGCTTAAGATAAAGAATCCTGCGTAACAAGGTTGCAGCAATGAAACAAGCCATATAAGCAACGGTGGTTCCTATAGGAACTGTTATGCAATTCTGAACAGCAAAGCATCCTATTGCAGCATCCTGCCATAGGTTGTACTAAATCTTAAATGTGATAACACTTCTCTAGTGTACTAACGTTACTTTGCAATCACAGGGCTTTTTATAAAAAAAGCCCAAGTGCTTCCATGACGCAGTTTAAAGATTATAAAAATATTTTTCTATTTGCCATCTTTAACAACCAAATCCTAAATATATTTTCTAAAAAAAAAAATCCATGGCTTCCATTGAATTATATTTAAAAGTGCTCCCCAACAAAGAAGGTCTTCTTGGGAAGAGCCCTTCCTGAGTGGAGAAAATTTTCAAAACAGAAGTTTCCTTCATAAACATTTAAATGTTGAAAACAGAATTTTGTGTATGCTGTATAAAGTTCTCAGGTGATTTGCTGCTTTTTGCAGTTGTTTGTTTGTTTTTTTTAAAGAAACAAAATCCAAAGTTGAGTGAAGAGATGAACTTTTTCAATGGCTAAATGGAGGCTGAGGAAAGTCAACAGATGCACTCAATTTAGCAAAGCCAGGAAAACAATCCAGGAATCTTGTTATTCCTCTCAATTTTTGAGTCACCAGCCAATATGCCCCTTTTTGAATATAATAAGAAAGCAAAATGTGCCGTTTCATTTCCTTGCCAACTGTTTAAGTATGGAAACAAAAATGCATTTTGGCAAAGATATGTTTTAAAAAGAAAACCACATACTGTAGTTAAAAAGCCAAGCTGAACTTTCAGAAAGTTTGGGGGGGGGGGGGGAAAA